AATTGAAAGAGGTACCGTTTATTTTGTATTTACTCTGCATTGCGCAAATGTGTAAGTCATGCGCAACCGTGAGGTAGTTGTTCTTCGAATGAAGAGGATAAGACGCATGCTTCCTTTCAACACATTCCATAATTGTTTCGCGGCGTTCCAACTCAAAAATCCAAAAAGTCAGTGTGATCTCGGGCGAGAGGCCAGACAAGAGCGGCGAGAGAGCACGCAAACGAGTAAGACAACCGATAAGATATCTATCAAGCGTGGGCGGAGTCACTGACTTTTGTTGGAGTCACTTGTACATCCTTCTGTTCAACTCCTATTACAGCTCCTTTCAAAGCTTTCCTTTACAAATACCTTCGATGCAGATCCTTCCCGTTTGCGACGTGAACATAGAAAGTGTGCGGGTAATGAAGCTGGAAGGTTGTTATACTGGATCGTCTTGTACGTCCCTATCCGCTATTCGATCAGCAAAGCCAAATCAGCGAGTAAGTCACGACACAGACATCTGACGCGCCACACGACAAACTAGGTGCCTTGTCATAGCCACTCGCGTTGCTTGTCTGCGGCCTCTCACGTATAGCTATAGCACCATGGTTCTCTTCTGCTCGCCTTCAACAGCGTGCCGACATGTTCCCAGCTCGACAGGTCCCAGAGGGGGTTTTTTCATTGCGTGACGTGCTCATGGCAATAGTGGGCGGAGATATACAGCACATACATCCCATAACCTGGAGATGAGGTAGGCGTGGCAGCGTACTTAACGACAGCGCCCGCGATCGCCTTTCGCGGAGTTGTAGAGCTTATAACCATTAGATCATGTTGTAAGTACAATACTAATGAAGAAAAAGTAAAAGAAAGCGTTGAAAATGCCCTAAAAAGACCTCATGTACGGGATTGAAAATGGACGAGTTAATTAAACTTTGGGCGAGTTCTCTGTATCTAATCGCCACTTGCTGCGGCTCATTCTCCAAGGCATATTCGATAAGATTAGCAAGTTATCACCGCTAACGAATCTTGGTAATGAAAAAATGATTGGGTAGAACTTGTTGACTCCTGCCCTCGTGGGCGGAGTCAGCTTATCGTTGCTGAGCTGTCGTGCTTATCAAGCGCTTTTGAGCCGCGAAAAAGGGATATCCGCTGTGACCACAAGCTCCGCCATCTTGTACTACAAAGGACTTCTGCACCTTGGTTGATCGCGGACGCTGTCTTCAACTTTACCACAGCATAGGATGCCTTCTTTGTCGGTCATTTCTATTTGAGACAGCTGTCGTATTGTCTTGCCTTCGATGAACCTTCGATGAAGGTATCATTGCAATAAATCACGAAATGGCAGTATTTCATCTTATCTCGTGGAGCTCAGCTGCTGCCAGGTTCAGACGGGGTACGCGGCCACGCCTACCCCATCAGCTATATGAAATGTAGCTATACAACCGCCTAACATCGCTCTCGCACAGATTTCTTAGAAATGTGATCTGCTTTAGGGTAATTCCCTTCACCTCTCTTGCTCAAAGCCCTAATGGATAAGGGTACGTATCCTGCGGTAATTATTCCTGAGCTTAGTCTTCAGGACGTTTACTACCCTGCTCGCTTGGTAGAATTTGTTCACCATGGTATTCCAGCTGAAATATGGTTTTCCAGGTCATGGGTAGGCCAGCTTTACTTGACGACGATCTTTACGAACGTGCTGCAGCGCTCCAGAAAGAAATAGAAGAAGAAGCGTACAATAAGAAATTGAAGAAGATCAAAGATGTAAGCGAAAGGGTGAAGTTAAAGCCGCCGAAGCCACCCAAGCCACCTAAACCACCGAAGCCCAAGAAAGAAAAGAAGAAGAAAAAGAAGAAGGTTTGTATGCACAGTCTACATGAATTTTGTTGATTTATTTACATTCTTCACAGGGTGAGTGGGACGAAGACACAGCAGATTTGGTTGAAGAAGCTGCCACCCTTATACGTGAATTGGAACGCGAATATGCTGAACGGTTGGTTAAGATCTTTTATTTCATCAGTACTTTGGAATATAACGGATTGATCCACTTCCCTGCTTACTTTGAATACTGGTTCAGGGAAAATGAGGAGCAGGAGGAGGAGGAGGAGGACGAGGATGAAGAGAGTTCTGAAGAGGAGGAACCAGTTGTCGAGATAAGAAGGTCAGAAAGACCCAAAAAGGTACGTTTTTAAGGCGACCTTGTTTTATTAGTGTTCGGCTTTTCTCCCCTTTCTAGTTGTTTCCCTCTTGTTCGTTATTTTGTAATACGCCTTTTCGGCGCAGTTCAGCGATCGCAGAGGAGGGGCATTTTGAACAGTTGCTGCTTCCCATCGACCTGTCTAGCTATCAAGACCTGTGAAATCTTATGAAGCCTATTTCCAATGGAGACTCGACGAGACTGCTCCAGCTTCACAAGAGTTAAGAGTTTCACCAGAGTGAGGTGGCTAAACTGGGACAAATGAAGCAGCCAAAGTGCAAAATGCCCCCCTCCCGCGTCGCCTAGTTGCACTGAGCTGCTCATTTCTGTATGGACTGCTCGTTGTTGAGCCAGGACTCTGAATTTCTGCTTGAGTCCATTTACATTGTGGTTCATTCCAGTTGTCGGTAAAGGCTCAAGAGCTCTTAGATCTGACTATAAGAAATATGAAGTTGAAGGATAAGCAGAATGAAGAAGGTTTTGAAGTACCCCAATACGCGTTTGCTGGATATGACGGTCAGTGCCGATTAATCGCTTCATTAGTTGACCGAGTTTTCATTTTGTGTTTAGAAGGAAGCGATAGTTCTTCATCATCGGATGACGACGATTCAAGCGATGACGAAGCTGGTCCTTCGACAATGTTCTATCGTAAAAGGCAAGCCCCTCGTGTAACGATGACAAGCAGTCGGCTCTCACGGCGTAACGTGGAATCAGAACGAACTACTACTTCTACTCCTGAAAATCCGTATGTTTCTTTTATTTGTCTACTACCACTTTAACATGAATTTGTGGGAGGTTCGTGTGCTTGATAGAAGGGGATCGTACGTTTATGGAGTTAGGGCCGCTTGGGAAAGTTTTTCCGGGTAGTTTACCTTTCTAGAGAGTTAGGTTTTGGCAAGGAATCCCTTGAAACTTGTTCGAGTCTTGGGGTCATCTAAGCCCTGATATGTTGGATTCATTTTCAAGTCTTGGCAATTTCTCAAAATAGAAGCGGGATATCAAATTTCAGCGCATCTTTTGTAAAGCTAGGAAGGTTGCCTTTGCATTGCTCTGGATGATCTCAGTTTATTATGCGATCTAGACCTAAGCTCAAAACTTTTTTGAAGCGTGCCAGCTTTTGAGCGACACAACTGGAACACCTCAATCTACTGTTGTTGCCTTCATACTACAGGATTATTCTCTTTAGGACTACTTCTAGACGAGAGCGCAGCTACAGTGATGACAATTAAGTCTGAAGCTCATGAAGTGCTGTCCGGTCCTGGAAGTCCATGAGTGCAACCTGCAGCCGTCACTTTGAATGAAGAACATGCTCCTTGATCAGAACCATATGCTACACAGGAGGAAGCAACAGGCTCTTCTCGAAGACCACTGAAGATGGGTATTCTTTTGCATTTTTTTCTTCTCTCACCTGAGTTTACCTTATATGTTCAACATTAAGGTCGTGAAGCTGAGCCAGCTGAACACGTTCCATCAAAGCTGACCACAAGCCCTGCCGATCGACAGGATGGGAACGTACCACCCATAGAGACTGATACCCCTACTTCTGGAGGCGATCTACAACGGGTAAAGCATTCGAAGACATCACTCGCCTCTCGTTCATTGAAGTCCGAAGGGTGCGTTTCAGTGAATTCCTTTGATACTGTCAAAACCTTTGGCACTATCTACCATTTACTGCCCCACTCTTTGAAACTCAGGCCACATTTGAGCGACTTTTTTCTCCAATGGTCGCTTTGGCTGAAAACTTACCCATAGGACTAGTTTGACCCGTTGACAGGAATGTCCGCTATCCGCATATGCTTGGTAAGGAGCGGAAAGCCCGAACCACAGGATGGCACCAAAACGCGTCAGGTCGTCAAATTCGCCGGGAACTTCTCGCCAGGGATTGTTTGGCCTCCTATAAACGTATGCATCGCATTCACTTGGTTGCAATGGGCGAGAATGGTTCGATGGATTTGCGGCGGCTTGGCCTTTTCTTCTCGTCTGCTCTTCGTTAATGTAATGCTTTCATCTGCTCAGACTGATCTTAAGCAAAGGAACTATCGCGGACCAGAAAGGCCTTGCGTCTGCACCCCAACTGCCTTGGCACTTTGCTTGCCGCTGAATCGCCGAGAGTTCGCGCTACAGGAGCCATCGCGAAAGTGATCATGATCCCGGCGCCCGGCGCTTTCATACTAAGCCAACTAATAATCGTGTTCGGGAGGGGGGGGGGTGGTCAAACTACCAGAGATGGGTGTTCGACTAATTTTGGCGATTTGAGGTACAGTGCGGAAAAAAAACTTGGAACAAGCCAAAAAATCGGAATTTTCTATCAAATTATTTTTTGATTTTCCTTGACTTGTGTACCGAAATATCGTGGATATAGATAAAGTATGCCTGGAAGAACTGTTTTCAAATCAGTAAAACGACCCTAAGCAAACACAAAAGTATGTGAGGTCTAGGTTTGGCACCCTTGATCAGCATCAGTATGACAAAATGACCTAAAAGCCTTCGCTTCAACAATATCAGGGTTCTTTGAGATGACTTGAAGCATGAGTCAAAGGGAAGAAGACCACCAACACGAGTGAGCAGTTCCATGCATTTTGGGAATTTGGAGGCGAATATCCGTGGATACCCTGAAGCTCCTGTGGAGTCGATTCCACGGATGATGAAGGCTCTAATCAAGTCCAGTAGTAAGCAAACCGAATTCAGAGCGCTGAATAGTTTTTCACTGTTGAATTCTGGCTATCTGCTTTCCTCTACTTTATTTGCCGTTCAATAAGAGCTTCGGAACTGAGTGAAACACGGTTTTGTGGCTTGTTCCAAGTTTTTTTTTTCGCAGCTGTATATTGGCTAAGCGCCAGTGGCATGGGTGCCAGGCCTCTACCCTTGGGCTCTACACAAATCGGGATTCTATTCTGTCCCAAAATCGGAAAACTGTGTTAGTCAACGGTGATTAGTGCCAGATTGGTTTTGTACTCGACAGTTGTAGATATGCGAGAGCTGACAGGTCCTTTTTCAGGCCCAGGCCGTCGCCTGTTCGCAAGCGACCATTTGAAAAAGCGAAACCTAACATTAAAGTGAAGAAATCTAGGGCAACTAGTCATAGTGTAGAAGGTAAGGACAAAGTAAATCTTTTGCTTTTTTTCTGTGAGTGCTTGGAATCGTTTCACCTAAAGAATTGAATGTTGCTCGGCAACTTGTTCTACAATAATTTTCATTAAATGTCACCCATTTGAGAAGCAAAGTCGACACCGGCCTCGAGCGCCACGGATGCAACTGTTCCTGAAGCGCCTGCAGCAGATGAAGCACAGTAAGTGACTAGTAAAATGATTTTTCTCCATAACTACTTTCAATATCATTTTAGAGATACTGTAAGTGTAGACTGTAAAATGAATTTTGCTCATAACTACTTTCAGTATCATTTTTAAGGAGGGAATGGCTGTAACTCGTAGAGCGCGAACAACGAACACCACGGTAGTCAGAGCCTCGAGCCACTAGAGTTGGCAACTTCGTAGCTTTTCATTTGTAGGGTTTGAGCTTTGTTTTCTCAGCGATTTCATTTCAGCTCCGACACCGATCAAGCCACAACAGGCTGAAGAAGATCTATTCAAGAGAACTCGGCCGGTCAACCGGAATAAACTGAAACGACCGTTACGATCACGCAGATAACAATATGATATATTAGGCATAAATTTCTTTATATTGTTTATTCAGATGAAAAATCATGGTTTCTAGATTATTTGGAAAGCACTAGGTGATGTTTAACCGCACTATGATCGGTGGTGCCCGTTACCGAATGCAACGTCTATCGGGTGCGTTGCATAGTGACGAGCTACTGCACTGATTTCTCAAATGACAGAACTTTTAGTTCATATTTCTTGTCAAGAGGCTTTTACTTGTGCAGGCTAGGAAGGGGGACGACGCAGACAATCATGATTATCTGCGCGCGCGTACCGTGCGGCTAACGCGCAAATTCTCAAATGCATAATCGGCTATTGTAAGCATCCAACTTATATGATAGCAAAGGCTCAATGCGAGCTGAGAATGAAGAGGGTTATCGATTTTTTTCGTTCTTTTAACACACTGGATTCGACGAGGACTGGGTCAGACAACTTCGTCCGTACCGCGCGCGGCCGTCCTGTCACGACGCGCGGGCGATACTACGATGCACTGTCACATACCCGTTCTAGGAGCATTCCAGAACATGCTGTAGCAACTTCTCGTTAAACCATGAGGTGTGGTGCGAATGCGCGCAGTAACGCTAGTTAAGCCATCATCTCGCCGTACCGTCTCACTGATTCGTAGCCCTACTTTTCATAAACACCTTTTCCGTCTCTCTTTTCTGCTTCGGAGTTCTATTTGGAGGACTCTTATTAAAAACCATTATCTTTGTAGCGCCGCCACTCTAAGTCAATTTCAATGTCCACACGAAAAAATCATCCAGACGTTCCCCATTTGCCTGGATACCGCTCGGTTTTCCCATCATGTCTGCTGCGGGGAATGGCCGCCTTTTCTCTTACACTCCTGCAGATTGAGTGGGCAGGGCGTAGTGCATAATACTTGTTGTCTTGGAGAAGAGTGAGGCCGTGGCATTTGATCATGCATCGCGATGGGTTACCTCTTTGGGATATTCGTTACTGTCATTTTATCCTGTGATGAACAAAGACATGACCTACTCCTATCCCTAAATCAAAAAAATCACTAAATGAAAATATCTCGCCGTAAGCACAGCCACAGCCACGTTTTAGATGAAGTATTGCAGTCGCGCCCACCACATCTCAAGGACTTGGAGTGCTTCATTCGAACATGGTAGAACGACATGGTGAGATCTTCCCATACGCGGAAACTGGTTCACCTGCCTTGTGTATCAGGACAAACGAATGAATTAACCATTCCTAAACTGCAACGTCTCAACAAGCGCTTCTGCCTCCAAGTTAGAATGAAGAACGCAACCACGCCCTCCCATCTCGAGGATATGGAGTGTACTTGTGAGCAGTAAATGTAGCCAACGGCAAGGGAATGTTCATTGACAAGTGAAACCCGACTACAACTGAGAAAAACAGGAACAAGCTAGGCTGCACAAAGAAATACGACTATTCAAATCAACGATAACGCAGCCATCAAAACTGCGTATTAAGCGCTTCGACGCCATCGAAGTTGTTGATGAGTAGTTAACTGAGAACGTCGATCATTACACGAGCTAATCCAACAGTTGATGCATCAAAACATCCGTATAGTGCAGAGCATATGGTTCCACAAGAAGAAATGAGAAGTGGAAAACGGTGCCAAGCACTATGGAAATCGGAAGAGCTGGCGTCGTTTCGTCGCCTGAAAGTACGTGTATAGGGTTTGTCGGATTAAGATAAACGCAGTTTATGATGTGCTTGAGTGCTATTACTGTTTAATACCTACTAAATTGTGAGCGCAATGTGGAGTCAGGTTGCAGTCGTTAGTCTGTCGGTTTTTTCAGCGGAGCGAATGTTGAGAAAAATAAAAAAACCATTCTAAAAATTCGCTGGCTGTTAATCTCACGGACAGTCAATGACTGGAACTTCAGCTGGTAATGCCGCGAAGGGGGAGGGTGGTGTATGATCCTCGGTAAGTATCGGACGAGCGAGATTATAAACCATCACAGTTGTGACCAGAATCTCGTGCTAATACTATGCCGAAGTTGCCAATCTAGCAGCCTTAACACACCGCCCGCGTAAATGTAATTTCATTTACTGGTGGAAGATTTCTGGTAAACACATGGGTTCACGTAAGTTTTTCGTTGTGCACACTCCACTATGACAGCAGCATTGTAAGAAAAAAAATGCCTACCGTTGCTGAAGTAAGTGAGCGTAATGAGTAGGCCGTAGACGACACCTAATGCTGCGGCGACTGTCGCTCCGACATTCCCTGAAGGAATACGTTAATTCTGTTTCGCTGTTGTTGCCTGTCTGTGTGCCTCAGATTGCAAAAGAGCTTTGACTTCTCCGCACGTTTTCTTCTACCCAGGAGACCCATTTTCCAGTCCAAGCTGGTGACTGTCGAACTAAGGCTCATACTACCACCTCGAGGCGATGGTGTAGTGACAAGTGGCGCGCTTACCACTCGCGCGGTCCTGGGTTCAAATCCCGGGTCGACTCCCGCCCAGGCCAACCAAGCCTTCTACCCTCCGGGACGGTAAATTGGTACCAGATTCGTCTGGGAGGATAAAACACTGACTTGTACATCGGCTGGCCACCGCAAGCCACATCGCATTCAGTAAGCCACTACGATTCTGAATGGAAGTAGAATGCGTGCCGCATCCCACAAAGGGATTGATCAACGGCGAAGACTTTATCCTTTCTCCTTTACTACCACCTCGAGATAAAAGGTAGATGTCAGTGGTCGCCATTTCTGAAAGTTATTCTGCACACATTTCTATCAGGTCCTCCTGATAATCGGACGTACGTATTTGGGCGAGCACTTCCTGAGGTATTTTGGACTATCCAGGTTGCAAAGGCCGAAATTCCGCCAGTACATAATGTTACAACTTTAGCTGCGAAAACAAATACTAAAACGTTTCGCGATAAGGTCTGTAACTGAGTCGATAGAAGCGCTCCCACTGTGCATATGCCGCTCGTACGATGACTAGGACTATCCAGGCTGCAATGCCCGAGAAGGTGATCTGACCTATCAGGAAACTATTACGAGTTTGTGGCAATTCTCCTGGTGAGGTCATCCAGTCTCTGTGGGGGCCTCCTACTCCCTAGTATTGTATCGAGAGATGGAGAACGCATAATAGCAAGGAACAATCCCGGTCAACTCCGCGAGACAGGGCCCTTAATCCCTGAAGACTCCTCACCAAAGGGAGGGACGTATTCCACTTATTTGTTTATCTGGGAAGTAGGCGGTGCAGTGATAAGTAGCCTGTTTATCACGTATTCGTTGAGGAAATAGGCCCCTGCCCACGCCGACCGCTCCTTCGATCTTGTGAAGACGGTTAATTCGTTGTTTGGGAGGATAAAAGCGCTGGAGTGTGCATTGGATGGCTTCCGCGAGTCGCTATAATGGTCGTATCGTATTCAAACGTCAACACAATTCTGAATGGAAGTAGAACGCATGCCGCATCCCAAAATCTATTTATTTATTTATCACATCATAGCAATATGTTCCTCTCGAAGAAAAGAAAGAAAATGAGATGCATTCAATCTGAAACCAATTCGATATGAACAGTTTACGGCTTGGTGGAGTGAGTGATGCCAGAGGTAGCTCGAGCATGAGGAATGGGCCAATACAGTGCTCCGTGGAGAAACTCACCCACGTAAAAACCGCGCCGCATACGCGCATGGGTGAGTTTTTCCCTCCTCCGCCAATAAAGAGCACTCAGGGTGTTACTCTCATCTCGACTCACAAAGATCAGTATGAAGAAATCATGCAATCACACT